CGTCTAAGGCTAATGGTAACAGGAGGCAAGGGACACGATGTTTTACCCAGGTTCGGGCCCTCTCGATGGAGGTAAAACCCTACTTCTTGCTTGATTGATCTTGATGATATGAGTATTACAAGAGTTGATCTACCACGAGATCGTAGAGGCTAAACCCTAGAAGCTAGCATATGATGATTATGATTGTCCTTCTATGGACTAAACCCTCCGGTTTATATAGACACCGGAGGGGGCTAGGGTTTACATAGAGTCGGTTACAAAGAAGGATATCTAATATACGGATCACCAAGCTTGTCTTCCACGCAAAGGAGAGTCCCATCCGGACACGGGACGAAGTCTTGAGTCTTGTATCCTCATGGTCCAACAGTCCGGCTAAAGTATATAGTCCGGCTGTCCGAATACCCCCTAATGTAGGACTCCCTTACCCCCTACCCGAGATCCGCCAGTTTTGACACCGACATCCACCACCTTGGATGTGCTCGGCGCAGCGTGGTCAACGTGGTCAACGAACGACATCCATCGGAAGTGGACTGTACGTGGAGAGGCTGACAGCTAGGTCCACGGCCACACCCAAGGAAATGCCTCCTTATTACCCGCAAAATAATGATTCCTCCACCTGACAGCTGGGACCCACCAGAAGGGCCTCTGTATTTCGTGAAAAAATCGTTTCCCCCATTGATAGGTCGGACCCACCAGTTATATCTTCGCACGCAAGGAAGTGCCTCCTTATTGCGCACAAAAAATGAATACTCCCCCTGCTAGCTGGGACCCACCATAGTGGGAGGCTGACTTGTGGGCCTACTAAGTTGACGCGCATGGAGGGCCTTGTCAACTTAGTCAATATGAACGATTCTAGCTCCAGGGACCGTACGATGTCCATCCAACGGCTGTGGTGCTTCTTCAACCTCTAGTCTTCTTGCTCCAGCCGCCCAAAGCAGTGTCGGTCGTGCCGCCTGCTCCTGCCTCCCGTGGCCAGCTCTGCTGCCACAGAGGCCTCACCGCCCCCTACTACTCCCACCGCTGGCCAGCCATCCCTCTACTCACCCACACCCCCTGTTATTCTGCGGCGACGGCAGCCTCACACCGAAGCTGAACCAGTGAACCCTCATACTCCTCTCCGCGTGGGCATCCACTACCGCGTCTTCCCCGGCTCCGCATCGTCCCCTTCCTAGGCCTCGTCGTCATCCACCGCCTTGGTGCTCTCGGCACGGCGTGGTCAATGTGGTCAATGAACGACTTCCATCGAAAGAGTATTGTACGTGGAGAGGCTGACTGTTGGGTCCATGGCCGCAGCAAGGAAGTGCCTCCTTATTACACGGAAAATAATGATTCCTCCACCTGACAGCAGGGACCCATCAGACGGGCCACCGTATTTCGCGAAAAAAATGTTTCCCTCCTGACTGCTGGGACCCAGCAGCTACATCTTCGCACGCAAGGAAGTGCTAGACAGTCAGGATCCACCTGGTCGAAGCGTACGTAGCGTTGTCATTCTGGTCGCGAACATGTACGTACATACGATCAGTCTATCTGCAGGCTGCAGCGATGAACCGTGACCATGTAAGGAAGGGCACGTGTTGTAGTATAGGTGCGCACGTGTCATAGTAGAGGCGCGCACGTAGCATGTCACGCAGTCCTGTTAATATCATGTACACGTACGTACAACCAGGGTGCAAGAAAGTAAATACGGCCACGTATGTACATACGGGCGGGGTCTCGAGCGCAAACTTGCGCATAAGTACGGCCAGGGCTCGTGTACATGGCTGGGTCAGAATGGAGAAACTGTGTCGTCGTCGTGTTCATCGGGAGCCAACCGGCTTGGACGGAACAACCGATCAAAACGAGGCTTGGCATACCGCAGAATGGAGGAAACGGCCTTGTGTTCGACCGGCCACAATCGAAACAGGATCATGTTCATCGGGAGGGATATGGCGTACCGCAAAACGGAGGAAACGGACTTCTCTTGGACCTCCTACGGTCGAAATGGGGTCCTATTGATCAGGAGGGCTGTGGTGTACCGCAAAACGGAGGAAACGGACTTGTGTTGGAGCGCTACGGTCGAAACGAGGGTCCTGTTCATTGGGAGGGGTGTGGCGTACCGCAAAACGGGACTCCACGGGATATTGTTCACCTCCACCGTTGACCTCCTCCAGCCTCCATGGGCTACTGTTCATCCACCGTCCACCTCCTCCAGCCTCCACCTGCGACTGTTCTTCCACGGGCTCCTGTTCATCTAGCCTCCACCGCTCCTCCATCGGCTACTGTTCAGCCAGCCCTCTCCATGGGGTCCTATTCAACCACCCCTCCAAAGGCTACTGTTCATCCAGTCCTCCACCAGCTATTGTTCAACCAGCCCTCCACGGGGTCCTGTTCATCCAGCTCTCCACGGGGTCCTATTCATCCACCCCCAACCGGCTCGATCGAGGTCCTGTTCATCCGGCAACAACGGGCTCTACTACCACGGGGTCCTGTTCATCCACCCCCCACCGGGAACTG